ATTTAATTTATTATATAATTGATATATTTAAAAATATATTAACATTATTAATTTATAAAATTAATTGTTTTGTATAAAAATAATTTATTTAAATAATTAAAAGAAGAAAAATAAAATTAGAGAAAAGTGGGTGGCCTACGTGGTTTTCAAATTGACTTGCAAATTTTGCAAGGTTTTTCTTGGTTGGCAATCCATACACAAAAGTTGATTTGCAATTGTGTTTGCAAGCCCCATGTAGGTGGCCTAACTAATTTTATTGGACTACGTTTTTTGGTGGGTCATGTAATTTGTCTCTTCTAACTGTTGTCAACTGAGAAAATTAACTTTAATAACTTTGAGTGTGATGAAATTAAAAATTAATAAACCATCAGTGAAAATAGTTCGTATTCTAAATCAGATTCAATACTTGAGGAAACCTAGGGACCACCACTTTAATTCACTCTTTAAAAAACAATTAATTGTATTTAAATTCGATGTTATTTTAAGTAATATGATTTTAATATACACATGAATATACTTTAAAATTATTATTTTTAGAAATTTATCAATTTAAAAATGTTTATTTTTTAAATATATATCTAAAAACACGTCGGATTTATATATTTTATGTCAACATGTCGGATTTCTTATATTTTATGTCAAATTTTGAGATAGAAATATAAGAAATAGGAATCGAATAAAGTTTGACCTCAACCAATCAAGTTTGACTATTGTTAAGATTTAATGTATGTTTGGTTAAAAGTATTAAGCAGTAATCAATAGAAAAAAAAAACTGACTAGTTTTATATAATATAATGAATTCATCCCTCTAGAAGCCTAAATTTTGATTCCATGTTAAAACAAAAAAGAATGGGAATTCAACCCCATTTTCAATCCCTATCATTTTCATTTTCATTTTCATTTTCATTTTCATTTTCATTCCTTCGTCTGACAAAATATGGTCATTCAATGGATGTCTTACTCTTATCCAGAATTAAAAAGTGCTATTATAGTTATTGAAGAGGGTGGCCCTTGTATACGGTGGCTTTCATGGTTTATGGTAAGGAAAAAGATTACGTTATTGAACTATAATATATTATTTTGTTGGATGTCACAAGTCTTTATGGTTAGAGTTCCTTTTTATTAAATTTTTTGGTTTTCTATTTATATTTTGATATTCTTATATATAGGGTTCAGTTTCAATGAGAAATGGATGAAGAGATTTTTATCGTTGGATCAATCATAATTCTTAAAAAGAGATCCTCATCATTAAATCAATGGCAAATGAATGCATCAAGATATTAACTGAATTAATTCTCTTTTAAAACACAATTCATGTAAGTTGGACTTACGTCATCCTATTAAAATAAAAATAAAAATGATGGGTCGTCTCTGTTATTGATCGTACCTGAATTGGGCGGCTGTCTTCCTGATGACAAAATAAGTTTTTGAGTTCACATCTTCAGGATTTGCAAGCATCATCGAGAGGGATAGAAGGCTCCTACAATGGCTACTTTGACAATTCCACCAGTCTTGTCTTCGCCTCGTGATGACGCCATGCACCTATACAAAGCTTTCAAAGGTACGTAACTCACTCCATTTAACCTCTCCGCCACTTGTATTTCATCCCAATTTGTTCCATTTTTTTTCTAATTTCTCAACACATTTTCATGTTTCCTACTTCTGTTTCATGAGATCACTCAAATATTGTTGCAAGTTACGATTGAACCAGACGAAATTGAGGTTCGGAATGTTCGTTTTGTTTCACTTGCTGTTCAAATTGATACCTAATTTGCAGTTTTAGTTGTCCTTGTTGATTCTCTTAGTTAATGGATCCCTGTATATTTATCTCTGCAAATTAACACACACAGCAAAATTCGTTTAGATATATCTTTCATTCATTGATTTCGGGGCCTGTAATGCGATGAATTCTTATTAGTTATTCACAATCATGGATGTATACTGAGAAATAACAATCTGTGTGTATTCAGGGCTTGGTTGTGATACTTCAGCAGTTGTCAATATTCTTGCCCATCGTGATTCAGCACAACGTGCTCTCATTATACATGATTATAAGATTATGTACTCTGAAGACCCCATCAAACGGCTCACTTCAGAACTTGGTGGAGATCTCAAGGTACATACTATATATAGTTCTAATTTATCCGATCCATTAAGTAAACAAGTTCTGATTGCATCAAAATATTGATTAATTGATTGAAATGATGCTATTTCCAATGGTTTCAGAAAGCAATCTTGCTTTGGATGCCCGATCCAGCACGAAGGGATGCAATCATACTACAAGATGCTTTAACTACAGACATTGATCTAAAAGCAGCTACAGAAGTCATATGTTCTCGGACTCCATCCCAGCTCCAGCATCTTAAGCAAATTTACCCTTCCCTTCATGGAGTTTACAAACACCTTGAGGATGCCATTCAAGCTCAAACTTCTGGTGACCTTGGACAGTTACTTCTGGCATATTTAAGTACACCTCGCAGTGAAGGGTTGGAAGTTGATAGAACAATGGTAGATCATGATGCTAAAGCTCTGTATAAAGCTGGGGAAAAGAGACTGGGAACCGATGAGAAGACTTTCAGAATCATTTTCAGCGGAAGAAGTCGGGCACACCTTGCTGCTGTTAGTTCTGCTTATCATAATATGTACGGGAACACACTGAAGAAGGTGAATCTATGCGACACTGCCTTATTTCTAGTTTTCTGGCATATTTTTTGGTGATTTAACTAGCATATTTACTCGCTGCAGGCTGTAAAAGGTGAAACCTCAGGAAACTATGAGCATGCCCTTGTCACGATCTTACAATGTGCTGAAAATCCTGGGAAGTACTTTGCCAAGGTATCATCTATACATGACCAGATATCTATTTGAAGTATATAATATTTATATACGACAAATGCAACAAATAAACTCACAGATGCCCTCCTCACCTTTAGTGGAGATTGAACCTGACCTCCTAGAAGGTCAAAAGCCCGGATACTGCTAGACCAATGGTTGTCTGAAATTTGTTTTGCTTTGCATATCCCTCCCCTATTTCGCACTTATGGACTTAAGAAACCTAACATAGGTTAATATTGGTCTTGTGTGGCCATTTAGAAGCTGGGTTATGGGCATAATTCAAAACCAAAGGCTTTGAAGTATTATTGTACGCTTATAGGTACTGCGTAAAGCAATGAAGGGGATGGGAACAGACGATAAAACGCTGATAAGAGTAATCGTGACAAGAACAGAGATCGATATGCAGTATATTAAGGCAGAGTATCATAAGAAGCATCATAAGAGTCTGAATGATGCTGTTCATTCCGAAACATCTGGCCATTACCAAACCTTTCTTCTTTCCCTCTTGGGCCCCAATCATCACTAAGCATGTCATTGGTCCAGCAGCTGACCGGAAGATTCAAATCTCATCAAAAGTGACAAGTGTGTGTATATTTATTGTTTATGAATATTATATACTTCAAAAGAGAAGTATATGTACATTTGAATAATCGTGTAATATTTCAACTCTTCTGCTGTGTTATATGTAATATGTATGGTTGTTAAAGATGTTCTAACAAATGTTAGATGTTATTGTGGAGGCTTTACAGTATCATTCATAGAAACAGACTTCTTTACTTTTTTTAAATCATTCAAGGGCCGTTTATTAAACTAAGTTACGGTACCTTAATGAACAAATATGACAAGTATCAAGAATCTTATCTGGTAAGAGTGAAGGCAAGGACCGAGAATCTTACCCGGTAAGTGAGTGCGACGTCTCTTACCATGGTTAACACTTACCAGATAAGTTGTTGTATACGATGTCATTTTGATGGACTAAATCTTATCCGATAAATAAGTAATGATGTTGAATTTTATGGTAAGTGTTTAGGTAGATGAACCCTTGGTACATTTGAAAATTAATGCCTAGAAGATGAAACCTACGGGGCCAGGCTTTTTTTTATAAAGGTTATTTTATTAAACCTAATTAGGGATTGTGGTTAAGCTGGTTGATTCTCCTCTTTATTTGCCACCTGTTATAACCCGACGCATCAAGAAAATTGGATTCGTAGGACGCCATAAATCTCTAAACGTCTTAAAAAATTGTTTTATAAAACTTAAGGTTATAGGACCAAATAGATATATGTCCTATTTAGGAGTGTTGCAACAGGTTCAAGTGACGCTTTTGAACGCCTTAAATAGTTTTTATATGATACTTTTTTAAATAAAGTGTTATGCTAGCTTTTTTATAGGATAATTTTGAGAAATGTTATATAAACACATTGTTTTGTATAATGTTTGTGTTTATAAGACGTTTTTGAAATAATGTCATCTAAAACATTTAATAAGACGCTTTATTTCAAAAGTGTCATAAAAAAATATTTAAAACGCATAAAAGCGTCATATAAATTTACTGCAACACCTTATATGAGACATGTATATGTATGGTCCTATAAAGTATTTTATTACATCACTTAGAGACTTATGACATTATATAAACCCAATTTTGTTGTATTATGATTACCTCATTACAACCAAACCCGAGTCTAGTTGGTTGGTACTTGGTAGCTAGGAGTTAGGACTTAGGATCAAGATCGGTTCAGATGAGCCCAATGCTAATTGGGCTTAATATATATGTTAGGCAGGTTTCGGGCATTTTTGGGCCCAAAGATCATTGGTATTTTGTTAATATTTATTTCTAATGTTTTTGGGAAAAAAAATTATATCTATGTTGTATTATAAAGCATTTGACAAAAACTCTTAAAAATCATTTTTTATGCGTGAAATACTGTTTATTGATGCATATTACTTAAAATTCAAGATTATAAATAAAATGAAACATTAAAATCGAGATATATTTTGTTGTATTGCGCGAGTACCCTTCTAGTTATATTATAAAGCATTTACAAAAACTCTTAAATGCCATTTTTTACGTATGAATTACTGTTTATTGATGCATATGATTAAAATTTAAGATTATAAGTAAAATTGTGTATAACAACTTGTTAAAGCTTCATGTTTGAATTCGTGTAACTAACTGCAGATAAATATAATCAAGTAGAAAATAAAATCTCATTTTAAATATAAAAAATCTAAAATACAAGTAGGGTAATTATTGAGTTTTAACAAAATTATTATCTTTATAAAAAATTAGATTATTAAACCAAAAATAGAAAAATGAATTAAAAAATACACACAAAAAAAATCTAAATAGTTAGTTTGGTATTAATAGCAATATTTTTTTTATTTTTTTATAATATCATCATATTTATATTCTTTTCAAAATTAAAAACATTATCGCTTTCTCAAAACCACATAAAACCATATTATAACATCGACTGAGACAAAAAAAATGAAACATTAAAATTGAGATTATCTCGCTACATTGTGTGAATACCTTTCTAGTTATTTCTAATGTTTTTAAAATGAGTAATTACTTATATTTTTTCTAAATAATTAGTTTTCGATCGAAAAAGAATTAATTATTTCTAATGTTTTAGAAAAATAGTTATTTCTAATGTTTATGCTTATCAAAGATAAGTTGATTATTTATGTATTTTTGAATTAGTTTGTTTTTACTGATAAAAAAATTCGTGAAGAATTGATAGTTGTTTAATCAATAAAATATTAATCATTAACATAACAGTTATTGAAAAAAATAAGCAAAAAGGTTAAACATTAAGCCTTGTGCCTTGAAAAAAACATTGAGCATCTAGCCATGGGGCTGGGTTGGGGCAGGGGCAGGGACCTCAATCCTCATCTTCGTCCTCGATTATTTATCTATATTCTCGTCTTTGTTTCTATCTCCGTCGAGGATTATAATCACATCCCTATCCCTAACGGGGGAAGGGGATCCTCAACGGGAAAACGAGATTTTTTTTTTCGTTTATATAAGTTATTTTAAATCAAATATGTGATAAATCATACATGTTTATATCTCAAACATTTTCAATAAACCTAAAACCAAAATGAATTTATTTTAATACAAAAAGACCACAACATCATATAAGAACTGATAACCTAAAACCAAAAAAATTCAATTTAATCCAAAAAAACTTAAAGTCACATGTACCAAAAGATATTGAGTAATATAAAATCATATTGAGTAATATAAAATCATATTGAGTAATCATATTTTGACTTAATATCCAAAATATTACATATTAACATCCAAAAAATAACAGTTTTAGATTATAAAACTAGCTACAAAATAGAAAATTATAAATTATCGCTTTAGTTGAAATAATATATATATATATATATATATATATATATGATTTATTAATTAATATATATAACGGGTACGGAGCGGAACGGGGAGTACCATACCCATCTTCGTCCCCATGCCTATGAGCATCAGTAAATAACTTCTAGAATTGATATTATTTATATAAGACAATGTTTCGTATATATTTAATTTTAATTGAACATCAGCTTAATTTATAAGACATGTGCTTAAGGTTATCTTAAATATAAAGGGTGATATATGTTTATGTCCTCGAGCACTTATAAATATCTGATATCGAGTAAATAACTTCTAAAATTAAAATATTTCAGATTGGAGTGAATAAAACTTATAATCTAATTGTCCTATGTCTCATGTTTAAATTTATAGGTGTTATAAACATTTTTAAGAGTCATGTCCTTGTCAACTTAAATAGAAAAAATATGAATTTTATAAATTAGTTGGATTATAGATGTTGCAGAACATGAAATTAAAGATTAAGGGAATGAAAATACTGACATCGTCAACATCTGCAAAAGTTGTTAATAGATTCTTTAACTTAACTAACAATGATGGTTTCTATTACTGTTATCAGATGATTAATCTGCATTCATGGAACGTTATTCTAATTTTGAATTATTTTCCTTTTTTTGGTATGAACGTCCAATTCGAAAAGTAATTACCATTCCCCGTTTTCTAAATTATATAAAACTTAAATTGAATCCGAACTTTTTAAATTTCAGAAATGTAAGAAATACCCAAAAACATCCTAAAACTTTAAAATTACGTACACTCATATTTTACACAAAACTAATATGTCTATATATAAATAGACACGCACACACATACGTAACGTTTAATCACAATTACAAGTATAATCATAAAATAGACATATACGCAAGGAACGTTTAATCACAATTATATGTATTACTATAAAATAGGAAGACTTTATACGGATTAGAAATGCATATCCTAAGTATTAGAGTCGTTGTTGGTGTTTTCATATTGGTCACCATGATGTCAGCGAGACATAGATTGGGGCATTATCCATCAGGTTATCACGTGCGAATACAACAACTCATACGTTTAGGCTAAAATGCTTTTTGTCAAACCATTATTGATCAACTCTTAGGCTAGGTGTTATAGTTGTATACGACTTTGGCCACTGATATGGCCTAAATTAAACATTGGGTTCTGTTAATATCTATCGTATTATGATTTAACTTCAGATTTCCATCAATATTATTGTTTATTACCAACGAATGTCTACTAATAATATTATCCTTTGATAATGTTCATATCACTTGTAGTGATATATATATATATATATATATATATATATATATATAAGAAAATTGAAAAGCAAATTAAGGGACTCAAAGTATTTATTAACAGTGGTTTGGTATCTAGATAGAGTATGACAGAATAAAATAAGACAAGATAAAATAGATGTTCAACATTTAGTAAGACATAACTGAACATGATATAACATATAAAAACTAATTTACCTATAATTAGTTGTTTAATTTTATATATTTTGATTAATTTATGTAATTTATTAAACTATAATAGAATAAATATTTTTATAACAAAATATATCATTAGAAAGTATTTATCAAGACGATTATAATGACATCAAAATAGAAAAGTTTATGTAGTTTCCAATTTTTATTTTATATATTTTCTATATCATTTTTTATTAATAAATATATAATAAATTACATAAATTAAACAAAATATAGAAACCGTATAAAAATAATATCTTGAAGACAATAAAGTAAAAGTTTAAAGAGTATAAAATACAATAAATAAAATTTAAATAATAAAATAAAATGTAAACATGGGACGTATTTGATGTTTTAAAAGAGAATTATTTTTTATTTTGAGATTATATTGATAAAATACATGTTTGTTTCATCTTGTTCCATGGAATAAGAGTAGAACATGTTTGTTCCATTCTCTTCATGTTTATTCCACATAAAATCCTATCAAACACACCAAAGAATAAAAAGGATGAGAAGCAAAGAAGCATTTTCCTTTAGGGACTAAAACTGTCCATAGCAATATGTTTAGGGTTGAAACATAAAACTCCCTTCTCATTTGAACAACACCACCATATAAAATGCCCCTTCCTCTCCAAAGACATCTATCATGCTCTCAAATACAAAGCTTTTCCAAGTGAGCCATGGCTATAAAGAACATCAACTGCATCACCATTCTTCTGGCGGTGTACACGGTGGTTGTCGCGGCAAAGCTTCAACGTTTTGATCATCTGCCGTCAAAGATGGATGGGTCTATCGATATTTTGGTGATTGGTGATTGGGGACGTAAAGGACTTTACAACCAATCCGATGTTGCTTTCCAGGTACCCTTCACTTTTCTATATCGGTTGTCTGGAAAACTAAATTGAAATTCACATTAAACTGAAGTTATGAATGCAAAAATCTTTGGAAAACCGCTTGATTTTTTCAAAACCAAATATATGTGTCGTTCATCTCATAAACATTAGGTCATGTCGGCATTTTGTTTGCTTAAGAACATTTACGTATTTCTTTTTTGAATTATCTTCAAATTAAAATTTCGGATTTAATCATTTATTATTTATTTCTTTATATATATATATATATATATAATATTAAACTAGAAAATACAAATAGAAGTATTAATTATGATGTAATAAATAAAAATAAATGAGAATGATCCTGTGATTAAAATACTTACACGAATCCTCTTTATTGTGCTGCTTTATGACTATTTAATCGGTATAATAATGAATAAAATAATTGTTTAGATGTATATTTAAAATATTATATATGTATATATTTATATTTTTAAATTAAAAGGAATAATAGTGCTTGTGCACTAAGGGATCGATTTCTTTATCGTCTAAAAAACTTCAGATTTAATTTAATATATCATTTAATAAATAGTATTTGTCAAGTTCTTAAATAAATTTGAAAATACAAAAGATAATCGTATTTATGAACCAAATATAAAGTTATTAATACCAATTAATAATAAAGAAAACAATACTTTATAAAAAATATTCTACTTTTTAGACCGTTAAAAATGTTGTGTTTTAAAAATTACCTTTTTAATCAATAAAACCCGGTCTTCAAGGATGTTTCCAATCTAACTTAAAAAACACGTTCATTTATGTTTTAATGTTGGATTAAAGATGGTCTAAAAATTTATTTCCATGTATAAATATTATATTATTAACAAACGAAATTTAATTTTAAAAAAGTTTTGATCAATATATGTGTGTGTGTATATATATATATATATATATAGAGAGAGAGAGAGAGAGAGAGAGAGAGTTCGTTTTAAATACAATCCATCGCATTTGTACAACCAATGCAACCCAATAAATTGAGATATTTATGGAAATGATGAGAGTTCATTTATTATGATTTGAATATTTATAGAAGATAAATAGAGTTCATTTATTATAATCAATACTTTATATTAGAAAACAATCAAAACTTCTATGAAATCACATATTAATCAAATTAAATGGACGGTTGAGATTGTGTTGTATTGGTTGTATAAATATAAATAATTGTATAATAATATATGTATATAAATGAGATGAAAAGTGAGGAAGGAATATCCATTATCCAATAAATATCCGAAGGAAAGGAATGTTCGCTACCCTGAAAAGGCATATTCTTTGCAATAACACCAAGACTTGTTCTACGAATTTTGCTTCTTTTACAAATTATATCTAAAAACATGTGGTTTGAAGTATTTCTCACAATCGAAAATTAGAATCTTTATAAAATCATATTCAATTTTAACATTTTCTTAATAATATTCAAAGTAAACTACAAAGTTGGTTGATGTGGTTTTGTCTGAAGCTAAAAATTGGATTTCGTCCATCTCTTTAATGTTTATTAAAAATTTGGTTAAATAAGAGATGTTTTCGTTCTTTCGTCGATTTTATTGTCTTTTACTCAATCAAAAACTACATGGACCAAAACTGTAAAATCGATTTTGATTAGGTAAAAGACATAAAAAAAACTAATAGAATGACGAAAATGCCTCTTGTTTGACGGAACTTTGAAACGACTTTAGAGAGAGGGATCAACTCCGGATGTCTTTCAAAACTACGATGGTTGTTTTGTAATTTTTAAATTGTATGAACAAAAAGTATTATTTTCAATAAACCACAGGGACTAAATTTGTAATTTATTCTATATTTTATAAAATATTGTTTTTCTTTTATGAGCATTTAATGTCCAAGATTATTACTTGTGAGAATAATAAAAAGTCATTTATTTTTTCTAAGGTCATGTTTGTTTTTTTAAGAGGTGTTAAGTTTGAATTTAGTTCTAATTTATAAGAGATGATTCTGAAGTTTGAAATCTGGATCAGTAAGATTGTTTGTTTTTATGTCTGAAATATAAAAGATAAATAGTTTTTTACTAACAAATTTTTTTCAACCCCCAAAATATGAACCATTTGATAGAGGGAGGATTATGATTAAATGGTTTTAAAGGACACGTTTACCACTTAAAATTTTAAAGAACATTTAGAGCTTTTAAGTTTTTAAGTTTATTGGGTTTATTTGAATTTTTCCCTTAAAAAACCATTTCTTTGTGTTTTATTTATTTTATTTTATTATTTACCTCGTAAATTTATATATATATATAAATTCTAATATAATCATAGATGTAAATATATTTATAATCGTGAATATAAAAAGTGGAGAGAACATAAAAATGGTTAAAAATGCTTATAAATAAAAATATGTTTTTTAATTGTCCTTTTTACTTTTCATTTTTTAATTTACAAAACTGAAATTAAATTGATAAGTAAAATCTTGTTTTTTTCATTAATATAATTATATAAATTAATTACATAAAAATATAGATATTAAATTCACAAATAAATAAATAAAAATGTATTACTTATGTAATTATGCTTATAGATTAAATTTACCGATCATTCTGCATTAAACCATTAAGCAACTGTCAAATAGCCTTACTCGATATAGTTAAATTAATAAACATATACTATGTAACAAAAATACATAACTAAACAGATAAAATGTATTTAATATATATTTTTCTTTTCTTTTCTCAAGTAACGTTTATGCTTAACATATTATTTTATTCATTCGTAAAGCTTTAAGTATGTATTATATTTTACAAGCAAGCAATATCATTATAATTTGTATATTTAATAATATTTTTCGGTTGTGTTTTAAGATGGGAAAAGTGGGAGAAATTTTGGATGCAGACTTCATCATATCAACCGGTGACAACTTCTACGAGGATGGCTTAATTGACGAGGAAGACCCTTTGTTTGTTGAGTCGTTTACTGATATATATACAGCATCAAGCTTACAAAAACAATGGTATGCAGGTAAGGCTTTTTTCGAAGAATTTGAATAAAGAAAATGTTAAATATAAAGTGAATGTTCGATGACATGTTCATTTAATTGTAGTGTTGGGGAATCATGACTATCGGGGCAATGTGTTGGCGCAACTTAGCCCTGCCCTCACACAAAGGGATAGCAAATGGCTCTGCCTTAGGTCCTTTATCGTAAATTCTGGTATTTTTTACTCGTTATTTATTTTCAGATATTTTTTATACATGATTATGAATGTGTAAGACCTTATACAATTTTGTTTCGGTAACTTTTTTAATACTTAAGGTCACCATGCATTCATCATAAGGTTCTGTTGAATCCATCTGCTCTCTGCTCAACGCAGATCTACAGTTACAACATATTTATACTTACATCATAACATAATTTTGTTTTCGTTTAGGAATTGTGGAATTTTTCTTCGTCGATACAACACCGTTTCAAGATAAGTATTTCACGGAGGAAGAACATACATATGATTGGAGAGGTGTGCTTCCTAGAGAAGATTACCTCTCAAACGTCTTGAAGGTACGGATATTATCTATGTCTCAATCTCAAACAATAATAATTTCGATGTTTATGAAAACTGTAACATTTTACTTTTTGAAACAGTTCCAAGTTAGAGTTTTTTTATTGGCTCATTATCATCGTTACAAATAAATTGATGACATTTTCAGACTAAAAAGTTTTTTTTTTTACCTTTGGTAAAAGACATCATTGAAAAGTCTATTCTATAAATTATTTTTCAATATTTTAACAATATAATAATTATACTTGTACATTTAAATATCATACATCTATTTATAGTAAGATTTAAGCGATAATATATAAGGCGTATAATCAAAAAGGTGGAAAATAACGAGAACCACCGATCATATATTATTTCACATCGTGAAACATTGTATGAAAAAATACAATCATAGAAATAATCACTCAATGATGCATTTTCATAATGATTATTTCATAACATAAAACGGTGGCTTTTACTGTACATATATATAGGAAGTTGATATGGCACTCAAAGAATCAAGTGCCAAGTGGAAAATTGTGATTGGCCATCATACAATTTTTAGTGCTGGTTCTCATGGAAATACCCAAGAGCTTGTAGATCAACTTTTACCCATCCTTGAGGTACGTTTATTTTCAGTAATTTATTAACTAATAAATTAAGTCGCTAAGCCATGATCTTTTCTAGAAGAGACAGAAAAAGTGTGTGTATATATATATATATAGTTTGTTTCAAATACAACATGTTGCATTTGTACAACCAATGCAACCCAATAAATTGAGATATTTATGAAAATGATAAGAGTTCATTTATTATGATTTGAATATTCATGAAAGATGAATATAGTTCATTAATTATTATCAATATTTTATATAAGAAAACAATCAAAACTTATATAAAATCACATATTAATCAAATGAAATGAACGGTTGAGATTGGGTTGTATTGGTTGCACAAATGTCAAAGGTTGTATAATAACCAACCTCTCTCTCTCTCTATATATATATATATATGTCTTTTTTTTTTCCGAACCTACCTTCAGATGAAATATTCAGGGTTTGTTTCATTTGGTTCGGTTTATTAACATGTGCAAAATGTTTTTGAAGGCAAGGAAAGTGGATCTTTACATAAATGGGCATGATCATTGCTTGCAGCACATTAGCAGTCAAAACAGGTAGCCATCACTGTTCTTCTTTCATTCCTTCATTCTTCTTCTTTCTCCTACTTCATGGTCATGACGTTCATGTGCAGTCAACTTCAGTTTCTAACGAGTGGAGGTGGGTCAAAGGCATGGCGGGGTGAGATCAACGATTGGGACTCTAACGAAATGAAGTTCTATTACGATGGTCAGGGATTCATGACACTTGGAATTGCGGAAAATGAAGTCAATGTGGCTTTCTATGATGTCGTTGGCAAGATCCTACACACATGGAGTACCTCCAAGTATACACATATGGACTCGTAAATGAGCATTGATTATTCATTTATATAGGCACATCGATTGCAGTACTGAGACCTAGAAAGGTCTCAAGTACTGCAATCTTCTATTCTACATGTAAACTTATATTATTCATCTTCTGCTAAACTAGAACTGTTAGCAGCTTATCCTTTCCCTTCTACGATGCATTAAATTTCTCGATCGTCAAACCTAACACGAGTTAGATCCAATTATGAGTGATTCGTCGTGAATCAATGGGATTAACGGAAAAAAGGAGGACGTGAATATTGAAAGAAACGAAAAAACGGACTCCTTAGATGGATATACTTGTAAATTGAGCTAAATTAAGAGTTTGTGTTCATGTAGTAAGACAACAAAAAAGCATAAGGATTCCAGAGCCAACTAAAGTTTTTAACTCTTCCCTCTCTGTGTTCTGCCCATAATGTGTCACCTATCGAAGACTTTTTGCTTTGCCGCTTTTTACATTTGCTTCAAACCCGTTGCAGCTTTCAGTCAAAACGACGAATTCTTTAAAATTCTGCTGGCTTTAATTTGCCATCTTTACATCATCATTCTGTTTCTGTTTCTGCTCTCCTGCTGCTGTCTTACCACCATTTTCATCCAAACTTCCTTTGCAATCTTCTTGTGTTTCTGCATCCACTTTCTCTTTTGGGGATGTGCTATTCTCATCATCACACGTTGCAGCATCATTAGAGGGTTCTATGGATGTACAATTGCCTGAACCTGGAGGAAGGAAGACTCCGGTGCCAGGTACTGGTAAGCGAGGTGGAGCATGCTGCCTCAGAGGAGTGGTTGCCCATCCTGCAGAGGCAGGTGGTGGCAGACCCATGGAAGCTGCCGGAAAAGTCATTGGCGGTGCAACTGCTGAAGGAACAAAAATAGGCTGGATGCCATTTGGTGGTGGTAGCGGAGGACGGACAGCCGCAGCTGGCAGAACACCGGTTGTTGGGACTTGGACATAGTGCTTGGGTCCCATAGGATTGGGAATGTGGTTCGGGGACCTAGTAGGAGGCGGGGCCCAATGGGTAGCCGGTGCTACCGGAGCTGGAGAACGCTGACGATCAGAAAGCATGGTTCTCTTTGGTTGTGACTTCGTCAAAGTTACAAGTATTCGTTGTTTTCGGAGTGAGGGAATCGCGTGCTTAGCAAAATCTACAGATTTTCCTTCCATAACTAGCATAGATCTGCAATTTCGCCATATCAGCAGATGTATAAATGTAACTGCCAAAGACAAAAATGTGACGTTTGGCCTCACAGAACAGATAGGACTCTTCTTTTGGACTAAAAAGTTTGTAAACTGCATTTGGAATGGAATACAGTTTTACAATAGTCCACAAACATAGACAACTATGGCTAGAGATAAAAAGCAGTAGATTCAAGTATTCATGAGTTGAACTCTACTGAGCTTTGTTTAATATCAAATCTAAACATCAGCCTGTTTTGAGTTTGGTTCTCATAAATTGGTCTAGTTAGATGAAAGATTCTAGAACATTAAACTGAACAAAGAACTTAATTGAGTTGTAAGAATCTGATTGACTAGAGAGTATGAACCCCAAAATCAAATCAAATAATCTTCTTCCAAATGTTCAATTTATAAATATATGTCTGTATATTTAATGTAAATGTTGAACAGGTACCCAATTTAAGTCGAATAGTTTTCATGCTTAATCCGATGGTTTATATAGCAACTTCACTCTGAGGATGAAGAATCATATATGCATAGTTAAGATGATCTATGTAAGGATTTCTAAACCTTCCTGTTTAAGAATGAAGATGGTTGCAGGGGAAACTAAATGTTAACACCATGATTCGACGTCGGTGAATTTCTTCCTAATTGTTTTTCAAGAAAGCATTTAATCATGTATTCATGTGACCAATTGCAACTAACATATCCATATAATAAAATTATTATAAAGCAAGAATCTCTAACTAAAATCTACAAGTTTGGGGAAAGAGAGAGTACCCAGGAGCGAGAGAAAGCTTAATAGAGCCTCTGTAATCCCCAGGATGGTCCGCTCCTATTACGCTACCAAAAGTCATGTCACATTCTGTCAAGAACAAAACACATATGGGCCTTCCAAACCAATATGGCCACATATGGGGCTGCGAGTGGTCACCCTACATAAAACATCCACCAGTTGGGCCAGCCTAATAATAGCACAATCATTCTGAGCAATATAAGAGATAGGATCACTACTGACCTCATTATAAATATCGATAATGCAGGAGTCTGGCTTCACTGACAGAAATTGCATGGCCATTAATCGTTCAATGAATTCTTGAAATAAACTTGGAATTGGTTCTATTTTCCGATCTGAAATTTTTTATTTTATTTCAGTCACAAATGAAGAAGGATGCAAATATATTTATAGTCACAATATTGTTATCATTTGCTTCTTGGGAAAGGAAATTTTCATGAGTTATGCACATGCCTTTGGAGGTTCCACCGATGATTTCATCGTCAAAAGGTGCATCCGCAATGGGCAAGCCCAATTGAATCATCTCTCTTCCATGACCTTTCATGGGTCTCTTTGAGACAATAAATGTCTGTCCTGCTTATCAAAGCGTCCAGGAATTATTGACATATAAAATGCAGGATAAACAACCAGACTTACTAAAAAAGAAAGACTTGGACTCGTAAATTTGCCTGTCACATAACTCAATTTAGCATCAAACTCAAACAATCTTCTAAATGGACCCTATGGACCATGCATCCAAATCCAAAGGAAAAAGGACAGTCCTGTCCTACGGGTAAGACTCTTAACATTGTCAAGAAAATTTTATACTAAACACGCACACACATAAGCATGCGTACACCAACTTCCTTATAAGCAGAGAGCCCAAGATGTTCCTACGAAGAAATTTTCAAGATGCATGGGTCGACTGATTCCCGTTGATGAGTGATAACGAATTCTGGCAGCAGCTATGCAAGTTGAATGGAGATGCTAGGATGATAATTGGTATTTTGACAACACCTAAAAATAAAGCTTGTATGTTCCCTTCTTTGGCAATGAAAGAAAATTCAAATTAATTTATTTGATTTGGAATGTCCTTAAGCATGTCAAATATCATTGTATAAAGGGAACCCCAGATGGACAATTTCAGGTACTTAGACTCCATGATTCACAAGGGATATGTTGAGAACGATGTTACACAGTGTAAAGACAAGGTGGTTAAAGTGGAGGGCTGCAAAGGGAATGCTATGTGACAAGAAAGTCCCGTTAAAAGTTGAGAAATTTTTCTACAGAGTGACCATCAAACTAGCTCTTTTGTATGGGTCTGAGTGGTGTGTGTCTTGTGATAAGGAAGGTGCATGAGAGGAAGTTTGAAGTTGCAGAGGTGAGGATGCTAAAAGGCATGGAATTCCAATACCATCAACATCCCATTAAAGATCAGGTTCTGTTAAACACATGAGTGGCCATTTTAGAGGTTCAGCCCCTTTAAGATCAAATCTTCTAAACATGAGGTAGTTCTTTTAGACATTCAACTATTATTTCCTGGTTGAATTCATTTTCTAATTAGACATCTTCACAGAAGAAGAAGATGCACCAATGGTGCACGGCCTAATAAAGAACTATAATAAGGATATGGATTATTATTTGGGAATGATGCCAAATGCTTCTTAAAGAAGATTCTCAAAACCCTTCACAAGCAAGTGAGTGAGTGAGTGAAGAAAAATTCTTTGGAGGACATTAGGACTTCATATATGTCCTCAATTAAGACATCACATTGCTAGAAGTCATTCAAAATATCCTCAAGAGACCACATAGATATTCATCATTGTGGTTATACACCTCTCATCACTGAGCCATAAAATCCATGCCACAATTAAGAAAAATATGCAACTTAACAAATAACAACTATGTCTAGTTCTTCTCCCCCAACGTCTACTTATAGAATAAGTTAGACATTTTAGCCAAAACTAGTTATTATACACAGTTTGCATGGTGATTGAACAGTAATCATGAAGTGTACAATGAAATCAACGCCAAAGTTGTGAAACTACGAATAACCTTACAAACACTGATTCTGGCAAAAGAAAGGTAGTGACTTGGAAAGGATGGAAGAATTGCACATGGTTGGAATGATTACTGCAATGATTACCAAGAAACAGCAGGGATAGCCATCAGCAGAGAAAATTTATGAGGTCCCCCACTATCTACATTATTTAGCGTTTTTGTCTTTTGATATGATGTAGGTCAGCTATTGAAATTTTATATTGTGTAAAAAGATCCCGACTACGGCCCACCTATTATTGGAATAGTCAGAAACAACAGAAATGATAAATGAAAGTGATCTAAATGTTTAAAGCATTGTTATTTCTTGGATCACCTCTTTATATGAATCATTTATCACAAGTATACTAAATGTATGCCAACTCTATGAGTGCCACTTACCATTCTAACAATAAAAAATGTAAGAATAAAAGAGCATGTGCAGGTTTCATATCTTGGACATGGAGTTCATTATCATAGAAACACTCCTAGCTATTAGATTAATTTCTGATAACAAATTCATGCAAAGAACTAACAAACTCCAGAGACGTGTACATGTGCAAGGAACATCATAAAACCTCATAGTTTGAGGGAAGATAAAAATGTAATTTACTCTCATCCATCTAAAATAGCTGGTGACTTGCCTTGAAATTGTCCCCGTCTTCCAGCAGCCCTCAAATCATTTACCAAGCTAACCATTTTCCTAACTCCAGACTCATCAAATAACTCTTCATACATTTTCATTCCATCAACAACATTAACCTATACAGAGAAATCTGTTAAATTGAAAGATGGAGAGAAAGTAATTACCAGATTTACAGGATTTCTTCTATAACAAGTAGATGGAGCTATAATAGAACRTYRTAATGTTACCGCTTTTCCATCCAATATCTCAGTACCAACAAAAGTTTTTGCAACTGCTAAAGTATCCGGCTTCTGTTGTGCATTATGCGTAGAAAATAATCCATTCTTCGAATGCTCATTAGTACATCCTTCACAAGATAATTGCCAAATCAGACAGTTCATTTATTGAACTCCATTTCCGTAACAAAGGCTGCAGATGGTCAGAAAGGAGATTGGACAAAGTTGTGTGCTTATTCTCGCTTAGCCTTAATGTATGAGTTTAAAAATACAATTTCAACGTTCGGGAATCATTATTATGTTAAAATTAACAAATAAATAGTTATAGAAGCCCAAATAAAATATGAACATGTTCTTGGTAGGGCATTAGAATTTAGAGTGTGACGAAAACTTAGTTGAATGCCACAAAGTACCAGCACCTAGCAACCAGGGCCTGATTACTAAAAGATTAAAGCACAKATCACACAGAAGCAAAAAGAAATAATAACAAATAAACCACAAAGAATAATAAATGAAAGAATKGTAAGTTCAGTTAAAGAAAGTTCAGTACCTTTTAAGTTTGGATTATCCTCAGCCTCCTTTGTCTCATATGCTAAACTCTCCGACAATGTTGAATGTGAGTCCAGGCTCTTACCATTGTCGTCTACTTGAGATTTTGTGCTTAAACCTGCTCCAGATAAAATGGTCTACTTGTTATCTAGTTATTTTACAGCATATTTTATAWTCGATGGATGTCATATATCCTGCATAACCTACTGAAACAAGATGGAAAGACCTACTGAAGCAGAAGCGATACTGTTCTTGCACTTATGCCTTAGGTCCAAATCAACAGGTGATTATTAATTTTTCTCATTGATGCAACATTTATCAATATTGTTAGAAAACAAACATATACTTATATCCATGATCATGGTTAGAATATTCCCCTTTAATAATAATTATAACAATTAACTATAGTGACCTAATACTTAAAGTGCATGCATTCAGCAGTATTATCCTCAAGTAGTTCCAAGTAAAAATGAGTTCATAGCATGCATATGGAACCACCATGCTGCAAAACAACAACATGCTTGCACAATCAGTATAGTTACAAAATTACTTCAAGATATTTTGAAGTTCAAGATGTTTCAAGAAAAATAAGTTATATATCTAACTGAAAAAGGCCACTAATCTAACATAATCAACTAATCAAATTGACTTCAACAAACATGAAGCCATACTCAAATGTGTGTGTGTGTCTCAAACTCTATTATGTTATCCCACAAACCAATATGTTATGAACAACAAGATTAGTTATAAGAATACCAAAAGAAGAAATGAGTAAAAGAAGTGACACTTTTGTGTGTGCTTCACAAAAATAGGTAATAAATCTATCACCAAATCAGTATATAGAAACATCAATACTTATCAGAATCAATATATTTAACCGGAAGCCATTTCTAAATTCTAACTTGGAGGATACTGCTAAGTCACACATTCTTAGGGCATTATCAATAATAAATTAGCAGGAAGTATACTCACTCATCTCTTACCATCACTACACTTGGTGAGTGCAACATCTTTGTCATCAGATATGGGAACTTCATTCCCCACCAAATTGCCAGACCCATTTGCAACATTTCCGGGACTATTGAAATCTACAGTAGAACTATGACCATCCTTCACAGCAATTTCAACCCTATGCCCCTGGCCCTGCCTAGACCCAGCACCACCAGATCTCTTATAATCCTTCCCCGGTCCCACAACCTTCATCGGATCATAAAACCCACCACCACGATGTTGCTGTTGCCGCCTCCATGTCACCTGTTGCAAGGCGTTAAACACCTCAGCCACCGAAAAGTATTGCTGCATATGAAGGACAGGGTTCCAATTACACCTCCTCTGCTGTATGGATCCTATAACCCCATCATATTCCCCAGGTTCGCCAACACTCTTCAAATGATGACATAACGAATCAATAATCGCATTGGCAGCAGCAAATTCCCCTCTCAACCACGAAATGAACCCATCTCTTTCGTCTGGATACCACCCAACCCCACTGCCGGCTGCTCCTCCCCCGGCCGGCCCAACCGCACCACCACTTGGATACTGCATTTTATCCGGAATTACCACGTTCCCCGATGGCATTGCCATATACATTAATAATATTATATATCTCCTAAATATATATATATATATATATGTATATATATTGTAACCAAAAGGTACCTACCTATTTATATGATGATTGCTAAAACAACAAAGCAAAATTGCTAGTTCATTACCAGATCTAACAGAATTAAAAAAAATTAAATAGCTAAAAAGCTAGCGAATGATGATTGCACTACAACAGTAAGGGTGAAATTGTTGATTAGATCGGTTAAACTATGAATGAAATCCTGAAGGCAATAGTACGTAATCATGCAATGTGAATAGAAAATTGAAGAAAGATTTGATCTTTTGACAGATGACTTTGGTTTTCTCAGATCCGGGAAAGTGAATTGTGTGAAATTGAGGGGTTTTATGAAGAAAAAAGGGAGATCTAATTAGGGTTCGTGAAGAACGTGTTTAGGGCGAAACAAAGAAAATGTATATGGCTTATTGAACACGCGCATCTCTTCTCTCTCTCTCTCTCTCTCTCATCTCATATGCATATCACACACACCCACACAGTTGAAGGAGGAGTGTGTGTGGGTTTGGGTCGGTGGACTGGGAGAGAATATTCCCAGAATGTACAGGGGGTCACTCGTAATAACCAAAATAATAATTTCTCTCCCGGTGAAAAATCCAAAATTTATTCCAATAAAATTATTTTTTATATTATATGCTCCAATAATAAATTATTACTAAATGGATGAGAAATATTAAATTATTTCAATAGTTAGTTATGATCAAGGGAATTTCATTAAAAATAATACATAATATATTAACAAAATAGTTATTTTTTATGTTTTATCAAAACAACCACACGGATCGTCTTTGGGGGCATGTTGACCATTGGAGGCGATTCAGTCCTCTTTGACCAAAAAAAGTACATAAAAATTATTTTAAATTGATTTATGGGGTTCATATATATCTGATTTGGAGGAACAACATTTGGTTTGTCTTAATAGGGGGATTGCCCCCACCCTACCCCAGGATCTTTCCCCGGGGGCGATCCGACCCTCCATGTTTGACCTTTATTTTGTCTTTTAGTGCATAAAATATCACTATATATAGTTTGTGACCTCTCATCCATTTTTCTTCGCACTCTACTCATCACTTTTACTCGCATATCTTCTAAATTGATAAATAAAAGAAAAAAAAGTTATCCTCAATTATACTCTCACAACCCTTAAACACAATCTGCCATCCCAACTTTTAACTCATTAAACATAATCTATTATCACAACATTTAACCCATTAAACACAATCTACCATCATAACCCTTAACCCTTAAACACGAATATGAAATCACGTTAAAGTGATAATGTTTTCGTGTATGTTCAGAGTGGTGGCTCATTCCATGAGATAAATAATGTTTTCGAATATATGTCGTTAAGATCCCCTATACGTGTATTGCGTTTGTCTTCGTCAATAACACATTCTGGTTTAGTAATAAGTATTATGAAAAAGTTAAGTTTACGTAGTCCTTTCAAGTTACTTTATAAAAATAATTTCGTACAAAAATTATATGAGTTAAGCGGCGACGACGACGATGTGATGATGTTCAAGAATGTTGTTCGTCAAAATTTACCGAAAATGTTGACACTCTTTATTGTTAACGATGGTGGTTATGGTGAAAATTCATCAAGTGTTGTAATCCGTCGAAGTTACCCGACAGTAGTGGTGCAAACCCATATGGTTCAAACACTTTTTACCCCGGTGGTAGTGGTGGAAATCCAAACATTTTCTTCCCCAGTGGTGTTGGTGGAAATTCATATTTTGAACCAAAAAATCATGTTGATCATGACAGTTATTTGGTTCAAGATTTGAACAAGTCTCTAGACCAATACCTGATCCAGTATCCGGAACAGTCGAAAACTTTGTGGGAGGTAAATATGGATGCAAATGCTTTTGTTGCAGCAAAAATTTTGAATGTACCCGAAGACGACAACTCAGATGCTGAAAAAATCCATCCGGTAAGGATTAGTTTTGGGGGTATGCCCGACCCAACATCTTACCCAGACCTTGCTGTCAAACCTAGACAATGAAACATTTCCTACCAACTTAAATTTCATGTAAAAGTTCTCAAAACCTTTGACTCGAAAAAAGCACTGAAGCTCGGTGGGGATGGTGATAATGCTCCCCCAACCACCTATTTATATAAACCGTTGCATAATAAAACAAAATAGATCGTCAAATCGTAGGTCACTAAATGACAAAATAGCGGTCAAAGTAGGTGGTTTAGGAAATTTTGGCATTTTTTTAGATATAATATCTTATTTTTGTCCACCAAATCAGATATATATAATTTTTTCATATCAACAGTTATTAAAAAAATATTAACATTCAGTGATTATAAAAAATATAATTTTTATAAGAAAATATAAAAACATTCGTTGGTTCATTTATGCATTTAAAAAATTAGTAAAAATTATAAAGTTTGACGTGATTTCATATTGTGTTAAGGGTTGTGATGGTATATTGTTTTTAAGGGTTACAAGTTGTGAGGGTAAAAGAAAACCACAACATTTGGTCCTAAAACAATAAAAAAAACCAGTCAAAATCATCCATCGTTTATTGAAAAACACATTATATTTGTCAAATCGATCTTCTCACCAGAAGACAGAATAGAGGTCAAACATGGAGGGTCGGATCAGCCCCGAGAGAAGATCCTGGGGTAGGTGGGGACAATCCCCCTGTTCAAGACAAACCAAATGTTTTATCCACTAAATCAGATATATGTGGGCCCCACAAACCAATTTAAAATATTTTTTATGTAGTTTTTTTTTTTTTTTTTGTCAAAAAGAGCTGGATCGCCCCCCCTATGGTCAAACATGCCCCCAAGGGAGATTCATGTGGTTATTTTGGTAAAAGTGAAAAAAATGACTATTTTATTTTATAGATTACAATATAAATTATGTTATTGAAATATTAAATATCTTTTTAATATTATTTATTTTTTCTATAATTTAATTTCAGTAATTTTTATTGATGGAAGAAATAAAAAATAATTTTGCTTTCATGTTTAATAGTTTTTGGAGATTTATTAAATTTTGGATGATTTCATCCTCTCTTTTCTTTTCTTCATTTTAGATAATGTTTTGTAGGAATATGTTTGAGCAGAACCCTAAAATCTCTATTTAAATAATCTTTTAGACCATCTCCAACCCAACACTGAAAGTACAAAAATGAAGGTGTTTTTATCTTTAACCCAACACAAAAAAATTGGAGCTTCAAAATGTCGGTCTCTATATTTTGAGGTTAATAAAGCAAGCCTCTAAAATACATATTAATATTTTATTCAACTTTTCTAATTATATATATATATATATATATATAATTATTATTAATAAAATAACATACTAATAAATACATATATTACTTTATTACTAAAAATATTTTTAGTGTATAGTTGGAGTTAGGTTTTTTTTAATGTTTAAGAAATCCATAATTTTTAGTGTTCTTTTTTAAGGTTGGGTTGACGATGCCTGCTCTAAATGTTTTTGTTTGGATTGTGATTATAGGGGTGAAAATACTAATAATGTTTTATTATTTTCGTTTTTTTATCGAACAGGAATATGTTGACTGATCTGAAAACATATATCCAAACAATCGATGACTGATGTATGATTTAGCATTTGTTTGATTTGGGGGATTTGAATGCATTTATAGTTGAACTATACTTTAATTTTATATTTGGTTTAAAGTAAGTTCGAAATTGAAATCCCATATGTATAGGATTTATAAATCTTACAAGGGTGGTTGGTATATACATAAAATTTATTTGTAATAATATTCTAAAATATATTTAAAACATTTATTGAGTAATAATCAATTAATAAAATATAATTTAATTATTTATACTTAGTTTTAATAAATTATCTACAAATAATGGAATTTAATTTTATTCTAAATTCTACAAATCGAAGACACTAAATAATTCAAATCCAAATCCTACCAATTTCAATCTTTCCACATAATTAAAATCATTTAAAAGTATTTCGTCAAACCAAATGCCTCCTTGGGGTTATTTAGGTTGCGGGATTTGGTATGATATGGAACTGGTTTTGTTCCAATCTTGCATTTGATTAAAATAATGTCCGGAATTGAAATATTGTGATTTAAATAAAATTCCACAACATGGGGTTTAGAAATCCTATGGGGATATGTCCTAAAGAAACCCCCATGGGATAGTTAGGGGTCGTTCACCTAAATGCTTATCCGGTAAGCACTGACCATTAGGAGTTAACATTGTAATTCATTTTACCGGATAAAAATTGTAGTACATCAAAATGGTATTGTATACAACAATTTACCCAGTAAGCGCTTACCCGGGTACGAGTCGTCACCCTCACTTATCGAGTAAGACTCTTCATTTTTATTATTGTTCATTTGGTAAGAAAAATTACCCAATAAGTACTTATCATGTAAGCGTTCAATAAACGGCCCCTTAGTATTTCACGAGATCTAACAAGATTTGTTTGTAACAATAATTTATAATTTGTTAAAAATACTTGCTTTTCATAATCAATTAATAAAAGATACTTTGATTATTTTAATAAATTATTTTTTAAAAAATGGAATTCAATTTCATATCAAATTCTACAAACCAAACACACAAATTATTTTAAATCCTTCAATTTTCAAATCATTTCAATTCCAAATCTTTTAACAAAATTCAAGTCACTCAAAAACATTCCGTCGAAATAAACCGGACATTTTCTAGATGGTGCACAATAAATTTTTCAATGATTCGGTCCTTTCAGCAACGTTCTACTAAGCCCCAAAAAATCAACATTTGCAATGATCGATTTGGTACTTAATTGGTTATTTCTCTAAAATATATGACAGATCTAGGTTTGATGGTGCTAACATGTCTTGGATAAAGTTGATATGTTTTTTTTTTTTTTTTGATAAGAAGGGGGAGACCCCTCCAGATCAAGCAAAAAACCACTAAAAACGAAAGACAAAAAACACTAGGGTCAAGTTTGAAAAACTGGGTAAGTGTT